TAAGACATTAATGATGCAGAGGACTGAAAATTTATGGGGAATATAAAAATTCTATTACAGGTGAGAAATGAAAATGATTGATTATTTATACAGTAAACTTTTCACTTATTTCTCTTAATAAACCAAAGCTGCTTAATTTAAAATCTTCTCTATCATTTAGTTTAACAGAAGTTATGGTTGTAATCTTAAATGTATTTATATTTTATGACTGTGTACTTGTCACATTGCTTCCATTATGATCAACATAGCCCGGTGCTCACTTCCTATTGAAAAAGAGCTCCCATTATGGACAGCATTGACTTTCTGTGTGCCCTCATGTGCCTATGACAAACAGCACCCTAGAGCAGTAAGCCATATTGCACATATGCAAAATTAACACAAACAACATCAATATAATGCCTTAAGAATGCATTGTTTTTCTTATTCAGTCACAGGGTAACGCTGAGGTGGCCATAAACATTTCTAAAAAAAACTGTTTGCAGTTTTTGCAATGTATACATTTTAGAGTAGGTGACAGACAAGCAAATATGGTAGTTATTTATTCACCAGGTGGAAAATGATTTCATAAACAGCCTATTTGGGGAATTTCTTGCCCCTGAGGCAGGACTGCATCACTGAGCACTCTCCTGGTTAGCTTTCTGTTATGCAAAATGTGAAGCGGCAAAACAATTAAAAAGGGATTTAAAGTCAATTAAGAATTGATGAATGGCTTCTATATATTGAGGTGTTATTTTTATAAAATGAAATGCATTAATCCATCAACACAACTGTCATATCTATCCTTGTTTAGGTTCAAACTACCCAGATATGGAGTAGAATGGGCTTATTAAATGTTTTATTTATAACTATAATGGTTTTTGGATCTCAGCTTTATTTATAAACCAGATGAGACTTTTTAGGTAAAATGTTGTGTTTTTAAAAGATCTTTGAACAATTTTGCTTCCTTTTTCATTGGAATGGCTAATGTGACTTTCGTCGACCATCTGCAGCATCAAATAATAATTTTTTTTTTATAATATATTTTTTAAAATTAGCAAATGTATTACATGTATATGTGATATGTAAAAATTTAAATACATTTTATATATTTGTGATTTCATTAAACAGTTGTTAGGCGCCATGATTAGTAGCGCCTTCACTTGGGGTGTTTGTGTAATCTTTAAGAGATTTTTTTGTGAATTGTGTCTTGTAACTTGTTCGCCCTTTTATTTTCTCTAATTCAGAAACCCATGAGTGTTTTCCATAATTTTTACTATATATGGATGAAGGGTTCTAGGTCCATGGAGGTTTAGAGCAATATATCACAGGTAATCTTACGTCAAATGTTTTTTTTTTATCCATTAATGCTGTTATCGTGTGAGAGGTATTTTGGAAATATTGGCAGACAGAAAAATGAAAATTTTTAAAGGTTGTTGCAGAACATAGATGGTTATGGTTTGGCAACACTCCTTTACAGGATTACTGAACAAAATCTAAATCGTGTGAAATTCCCAAAACTTTATTTCACATCAGTAAATCTATTTTCTTGTACATATTTTGCATACGGACTCAGATACATTCATCGAAATAGCAACAATATGTCATGTTGACATATGTAAGTTAAATATAAAGACACATTTTCTCTGTGAGCTGCTACCTGACATGAATCTAACCACAGGTCAGTGTCTTGATAAATAAAAAGCAAAATATTTCTATAATAGTGAGTTAAAAAAGATTGGATAAAAAAATAAGGGAACATAAAAAGATATCAAGATAAAATTCCTGAATACTGCATGAGACTGCTAAATTACCATCCAATCTTGCTCATTTTAAGTGTTTTGGGTTGTCAAACACATATCTCCTATTTAAATAAGTCAAATTGAACGTTTCACCTCTCCCTTGTAAAGCATGAGGGAAAATAAAAATTTACTACACAAATCTTTCATGTGTTTTCTTCCTTCAGAGCAAGTTTACCTTTGAACTCACTGACGACTATCCCAGCATTTTCCTTGTCAGATACCATTTACCCGACTCACTAACTGCCCTCCTTCATGCTGAACCTGTGTAAAGTAAACACTGATTTTAGCTGCTGCATCCGAGTTGAGAGCCTGGCTGTTTCTAACCCAGCCATTACTGTAGAAAGGAAGGTTTTGCTTTGGTTGAGTGTTTGGGTAAATGGTATTCTGCAGGACTGAAATTATGAAGGTATTTGTTTGATAACACCAGTTTTCTTCTAAGTACTTCTAAGTGCTGCTGGGCCGGACCGGTCATTCGAACCGAGCCAGCCGGGGACAGAGCAACCGAACCCGACCCGGTGACGGTATGCTTTCCCCCGCCTGCCTTACCGTGCTCCCCCTCGCCTTTACCGCCCCCAGTAAGGCAGGCGGGGAGAAGCACGGGGCCGCCAATTTTGGGTCGGGTTTGGTCCAGCCCCGGAGCTGATGGTTCGTTTCGGCGCCCGCAGTGTTTCGACTATGTGCTGCATGGTAGTCGTCCAAAATCCGGGACGACTTTGAAATTCCCCCTGGACATTTTTTTAAGTATACAAAGTTGGACATGTCATTGAAAAATAGGACGTCTGGTCACTCTACCATATCAACAATTTTGATGTTTCAGTAAGTGAGTGCTTGTTGCTATGATGCGTCTTTGCTCAGCAGCTTCGCTCGTTGTAAACCAACCAATCAGCGCACAGCTCATTTAAATATTCATAATCATACCATAAAAGAAGAAAACCTGTCGTTTCATTCTAGGGCTTTTAACCAGGCTTGAATTAGGGCTCATAGAACAGCAAATATGCCATTTTCAGCCCAACCAATGTTACACACCCAATTAGAGACCTTAAAGGAATAGTACACCCAAAACATGATTAGCCTTCATTTTCTTCTCACCTCCATGCTGAACAACACTCTGGAGTACTTTTTTGATATCTCAAATGCATCTGGAGATCTGGGAGGCTTCTTGCTGTCTGCTGACATTCAAATAATGGAGGTCTATGGCGCCCGAGGCAGAAAGGTCCATAAAAGTCCACAAAAAAACGTGTCAATATTCCTCCATACTGCTCGTCCAATATATTCCAAGTGTCCTGAGTGGGTAGCATCCAGAATTTACTCGAAACGAAGTCATTTAGAATGTTTTTAGAGCATAAACAGTAGTGTATAGGATTTCCTAAAAGCGCGTTCACGACGCTACGGAAACCGCGGCAGACCAAACCAGATGAAAGTGCGCATTCAGCGTCTGCTCTGCCGATAATGCAAGCGTAGAAGAAGAAATGTGCTGTTTACCTGTGCAAAGAAAGAAACAACGAAAGAAAAATGTCTGAGGGCTTCAGTGTTGTGGAAGAGCATGAGTTCTTTGCCGAGCTGAATGCACTGGTTTGGTCTGCCACGGTTTCCGTAGACTCGTGAACGCGCTTTTAGGAAATCCTATACACTACTGTTTATGCTCTAAAAACATTCTAAATGACTTCGTTTCGAGTAAATTATGGATGCTACCCACTCAGGACACTTGGAATACATTGGACGAGCAGTATGGAGGAATATTGACACGTTTTTTGTGGACTTTTATGGACCTTTCTGTCTCGGGCACCATAGACCTCCATTATTTGAATGTCAGCAGACAGCAAGAAGCCTCCCAGATCTCCAGATGCATTTGAGATATCAAAAAAGTACTCCAGAGTGTTGTTCAGCATGGGGGTGAGTAGAAAATGAAGGCTAATCATGTTTTGGGTGTACTATTCCTTTAAGAACCAGCACCAAATACTCTATAGAATCATTTTATGACCTCTTTAACATTCACTGTTCCAAATAAATAAACAGCATGTTATATAATCCAGAAGACTACCTGACTATCAGGCTTCTTTTAAAATTTTTATTTAAAAAGCAAAAATGGATTACACTCTCATTTAGTATATTTTCTAGGTTTGGCAACTATTTATTGCCATTTAAGAACCATATAATAAAAACATATTAACTCAGTGACATGTTATCGAGTATCAGTTTTGATGTGTTCTTCTTCTGAACAGGTAGCATTAAAAATGCCCAGGTAGCATTTTTATACACTTTTATCTTACTTTGTTTAACATTTCTCTTTCTTGGAATTTTGGCTCAATGAAAAACCTATAATTTTTTTTTATCTCAGTTTACCGATGAAGGTTAGTGTGTACAAATGTTTTTCATACTTAAATTTAATTTACCTTTTTATTTCATACCTTTAATTTAATTAAAACCCAAACAATATAATTCAAATAAGTATTTATTATACTTTCCACTATCCCATTGTGAAACCATCAGTTATTAAATGAGCTTATATAAAGAATGAGAAAATTAAAATTTAATCACTGAGGTGTGTTAGGACTTATAATTAAATACAACAGTAAAGTTAAACCCTTTTTTTTAGCTCCTTGTTTAATGATGACCACCACTGCGGCCTTTTTGTAATATTATTTATATAGTGCTCGTAAAACACTGTGATAAACATACAGCAGCATTTACAGCTGCATTAAAATCAAAGAGCCAAAGCCCCATTAAGCCTCTCTGCAGATCAGGAGCTGAACCTGAATAAATGAGCTGAATCGATGAAACGTCGCAGATTAGGTATCTGGAAGAGAGTTTTTATTTTTCTTTGATTCGTGTTGGTTTAAAGTTACAATTTCATGAAATATTCAGTATTTTGTCATTTTCCAGTAAAACCCACAGACATGTTTTAATTGAACTTCAATTGATAGAAAGACAGTAGATAACTAATAAATAATGCATGACTTTTTTTTTTTATTCATTTAATCCTGAAGGTTGATGTACCTTGCTATTCAGCCCTAATTACTCTCCTACTGTACCCCTTAATAAAATCTAATCAAACAAAAGCCTTCAAAGGTCAAATAAATTCTCCATGGATGGTATAAAAGACACTTTGCTCTGATTTTTTTTTTTAATACATGCACTTCCATTTATCTAGATTTATGTCAGCAGTGAGCAGAAAACATTATTATAAAGTTCCGGTTAGATTTGCTCTCCAGTTGACCTTACCAGTCTCTCCCCACACAGGCAGGTATTCATCCTGCTGGATGTCCAGCATTAGCTCCAGGCCGTTACCAGTCCCACCCTTCATCGTCACCAGTAGGGGACGCCCATCTTGGCCTGAATTAAATGTGTAGCATTTCCCGTAGCGTGTAAATATCTGAAACACACAGACAAAGGAAGGATTTTTATGCCAACATACGAGATGGTAATCCTCACAGCAGAATAAAAAATAAAAGACAGCATCTTCTCAGGTTGTGTTACCAGTCGCTGATCCTAGAAGCCTTTATGTGGAGAGGCTGTTGACAAGCTGAGCCCTCTTTGCTCTCAATACTGCATGATATAGTTTGTGCTCGAGAAAACAGGACATGACTTTTGTTTCAGTTTGTTGATTCTTGCCCGACAAATTTACACCAGACAGAAGGAAGCATCAAGATCCATTAACTCCCCCAACTCCCTCATCAGAACATAGAACAGAACATTGCACTATCAGAATTTTCTAACTAAATAAAAGATAATAGATCATTTTCTGCTAGTTATTTATGTAAATAAAATAGTACAGTATTTATTTTATTTATTTATTTTTTTGTGTGGTTATTTTCATGCACTTTTTAAGGTCTTTGTGTGACCAATTTGCTGTAATATTTTGCTGCTATAACACCACAATTCCAACAGTGTGGAACAGTAAATAAATTTTTGATTCTATTCTAAATAGAAACATTTTAACTTTAATCCTACTGATTAAAGTGAAATTTGTGAATTTGTGGCCCTTTCTTAAAAAAGGACTTCTATCATTTTTGTCAAGATGTCCTTACCTATATAACAATAACATGAGAATGGCTTGTTTTTACTACATTTCATTGCTTTGTTCTTGTGACAGTGTAATTAAAATAAAAGCGAATTATTTTTTATTCGATTTTAAATGTATAGTGAAAGGGATTTACTGTTTGAACTATTGAATGTGTACAATTAATGGCTGTATTTTTGTTTCATTTACAGTAAAAAAGAAGAAAAAATAAAAACAGCAGGAAAGAAAAGGAAGGAAATGAATTTATTTTCCTTTCCCACATTACCCATTCAGGTTAGCGGGGTTCTTTTAACACCAGTTATTATACAGGTAGTTAAAGTGTGGGAGCAAACACAATAATTTGCACCAAAGGTTGTGCATGCATGTGGAAAAAAAAAAAAAAATGAAACCTTTTCAAGAAAGGCCTCCACAATTTTAATTTGAGCTGTGGGCTTTCGTATTGAAAAGAAAAATGTAAAACCCCTGTGGTGTAATAATACACTAAGATTTTATGCTTTTTGCAATTACAAGAAAAGAGCTTGCCAGTAAATGCAATATCCAAGGATACCGAACTAACGAGAGAAATATCCTCAGAGAGAAGGCTTCATAAAACAGATATTTAGTCTGATTTCCATAATATCAATCTGTCCTTTAGGAGCACACAAATTCCCAGAAACCAATCTTCCTGAGAATGAAATAGGACTATCGCGCCTTAAACGTTCTATACAGTCGATGCTTGGGGGGGAGATATCCTTCAGTGATGTAAGAAATACAAAAAGAGAAGCTACATAGCCAACAGTTTGGGAAGCAGAGTCGTTAGTTGAGCTGCTAAAGTTCAATGCTTGGATAACAGGTTTGATTATTAACAGCTGAAAGAGAAATCTGTACACCGACAGATAACCCATATGTCTTCGTTTGTTGACTGGCTCAAAAATGATATATCTAAGTTCAACCTAGCATGGTTAGCTGCATGATCTGCCACGGAGCTTATATCCTAAGCCAGGGGTCTGCAACCTGCAGCTCCAGAGCCACATATGGCTCTTTGGACCCTCTACAGAGGATCTTAATTGTGCCTAAAATGTATATAAAGAGCTTAATAATGTACCATAATAAATAACAGTCTTAAAAGCTTTAGTGGTTTTTATAAGATGGAAAAGAATGATATTAAAAGAACCAGAAATAAGTTTTTGAGGCCATTTTTCTTTTATTTAAGTTGGAATTTATGTGTTTTAATATTATTTCAAAAGCTAAAAAATACATAAATTGTTGGTTGTTTCAGATGGAAACAAATTTACTATACGAGATAATACGTTTTTTTGGTTGTTGTTTTTTTTTGAAGTCATCTTATACTTTGCAGCTCTAAACAGCTTTTAATTGGTCGGACTCCGGGGTGGAAAATGGCTCTTTGGATATGAAAGGTTGCAGACCCCTGTCCTGAGCCATGACCAGCATGGAAGGGACTGCTGTAATGAATCAGGTGGAAGGAAGACACTACAGCATGGAAAAGATCTGAACAGCAGCTTTTCTAGTGTTTCTGTGTGTCACTGTTAATCAGTTATTTCCTGTGTTTGTAATTATTTCATGGTTTTGTGTTGATTTTAAGCCGCACAAACACACTGCGAAGGATTTTAAGCAACCCTTCCCAGTTCTCCCAGTACAGGTTCTTCAGCTGTAGGTTATTCAGTTTGTTATATGCTCTGGTTAAATGCACCGGATCGCACGTCCGCATAGACAGAGGTGCTATGCAGGGTTCAGTTGTAGACTAAGGGCCTTTCTGAACAAGGTTTTCATGTTCGTGTTGATATGCGGTGGACTGGCCATCAGTCTACGCTGCTTTCTGTCTATCAAACACTAGAGGTTGGCACCAGCAAGACTGCAAGGATTAGAAAATGTAAAAAAAATGGTTGATCATCGTCCTCTTAACGTGCTGTCTCTTTCATTTACTCATTGCTGGATTCTCCTGTTGTCTCCATCATGGTTCATGCTGCTCCCAGGTCTCTTCATCTTATACAGCCTATTTCTGTAGCCTCTGCTGCCTTGAAACTGTAAATATTTGAACCTGTCGATAATTTTTCCATGATTTTCTCCTGCTTGTGTTTAGATCCACTCCAGCAACATAGTTCCACATCTAATAATGAGAAGACAAATGCATTTCGTGCAGTTATTTGTGCTCAGTTCATGGCACTATATTAGAAGAATAGAGATTTAGACATCTAAGAAGCAAACAGATATTCTGTTGTCTATCTCATGAAGTGAATAACTTCATATTTAAACAAGTGGCTTGTCAAAACAGACATATATCTCCCGTGAGCAAAGTAAAAGTCAATATGGTTTGCCTCCATTCTTGGAGGAAAAAAAACCCACAGCTGTGGTTGTATAGATTAGGGAACCTAATGATGTCAAAATTATATCCCACTCTTATGTTTAGCCATGTATGGTAAAGTTGGACCAGATGGTGGGCTACTGTAGCAAATCCAAACTGTGTCCCACTGGCAACAACATGATTGCCAGCGAACTAATGGATGCATAATCTAATCAGAAACATCAGGAAATGAAAAAAGAAAAACATGCATGGACCCAAAATGAGATTCTTCCCTACTTTGTTCAGTCACAGGGCTGAGTCCCCTGAATTAAAGCATCCTGATTAGCTTAGAATTAACCTTCAACATTCTGACATTCAGGTTGAGACGGTAACAGGAAGTAGGTGGGTGGCTTGCAGAGATGATATAACAAAGACAGGAAATAAAAGTTATTTTTCATTAGCATTTTACTGCCTAAAGATCATATAGTCTAAGCATTTTATATAAATATCCTTTCACTAATACATCTAATAAAGCAAAAGGCTCCACTTTTGTCTTCTGCAGTTGCTCAAAAAGCTGTCGTTCTCCTGAATGTTCTGCATGGACTTTGAGAAAAGAGGGCGTTGATTACATAGTTGACTTATGAGTCAGACATTATCGCTCCATGACTCAAATGCCACAAACATCAGAAGAACCAAGATGCAAAAAATAGAAATAAATCTCAGCAATCCCTCACAAAAGAAAAGTTAGAATAATGTGAATCCTGCTCAGTGAGGTGTGTGGAATTGATCAAAACCTGTACCGAATAGAGAGATGGTTATTCATAGAAGCCTGCAAAACACGAAACAGTAAAATGCAATGAGAAATCCTTTGATAAGTCCAACAACAATATGAGATCTGACCTTTCAAGTGTATAGGTGGCAAAACTCAGCCAAAAACAAAGCCTATAGTATCAGCTTATGTGCAGAATATAAATATCAATAAAATACCCCTGAAATCCATCTTCTGTCCCAGAGCTCCCTCTCAGTGTAATCAGATCACCATTCGTCATTTCTCTTTGGAATAGAGAGTAGGAAATTTTTCACAATATATCAGAGCCGCCTCCTTTCCTCCAACAAAGTATCTTAAAATTGCAAATAGACTAAACCTGCAGAAGGCTTGCTTTTACCTGACGCCCTATCTAAACAAAACAACTCTGCTTAAATCCTAACTATTTTGTTACTCCAATTTCTTTCATTCCTATGTCATCAAAACACACAAACCAATTTTCTGTTTAAAAAGAAAAAGCAACAGGCTGTCGCTGTTCATACTCAAAGAAAACACTCTGCAGATGCACATCAAAGAAACAGCGGAGAGGTTGGAGGAAATGTTCAAAAAACGCGTACGCCCGTTTTTTATTGCACATGCCGATTTGTACGAGATTGTGAATTGTTGTCTTTGAGAGGGAGAGGGTGTGTTTGTGTTCTTGCATGAAGCCCCCCTGCTTGCCATCTGCGTGTATGTGTTTGTAATGTGGTGATTGACTAGCGCAGGCCCGTAGTCAGAGTTGCTGTGGTAACCAGGAGATTGTGCTGGCTGCATTGAGAGACGAGCAGCAACAGTGGGTGCTGCCGCTGACCTTGGGGAGTCAGAATCCTCATTGTGTGTAAGAGGCTCAGAGGTTTGTTCTGTCTCATACATCTTTACGTTCGCCTGTCAGTCTAATTCACCTGTCAGGCCTGTTGGCGGTGCACGTACCCTGTGACATTTTCTAAACAATTTAGCTTTACGCATGCATGAGGTCATGATGGAACTGGGCTGACAATATCCAATATAAAATATCATAAAATGTCATTTTATTTTTCATAGTATATAATCAATATATAACAGCTGCTCTAATTATTAAAATTTTTTAAATGTTCTGGACTTAATGTATGAAGGAATATGTAATGCATGGAGTGAATTGGGGAGCAACAACTGGTCATCAATTTAAAGAGGTCATAGAATGCAAAACTAAGTCTACCTCGTCATAGATGAATAACGATAGTTCAGTGGGTGAAATGGACGTACAGAGAAGTTCAAACCCCATCAACA